TTGTTAGCATATTTAAAGGTTCAGTTAAAAACCATTTTTTAAAATATAATTGTATAAATAAAAAAAACATTATATACAAAACTAAAAATACCTAAAATAACTAAACTATATCCATATAAAGTAATTAGGTAAACTATACCCAAAAAATGTTATTTAATCTAATAAGTTTGTCATATATGAAATTTCCCCTAATAATAATACTAGTGGGCTCTTGCTTAAGCCCAGCCCAACATCATCTTCTCCATCCATCTGCTTTCATTTGCCATTTTCTCTTTTGCTTTATCCCTTCTTCAAGGAGTGACTGTTGCTTTCCTTTAGGTATCTTCTCTGTGTTTTAGTTGTTATGTTTCCCCAATCTAATTTTTTGTAATGTTTGTGTTTCATTTTTGCACAATCTTTTTGTAGAATGTGACTAATTATTTTTTAAAAAATTTTTGTAATCTGGGCTAAATATAGATATGCATTTTGTTTTTGCTATATGTACTTTATACAAATACCAACCAACAAGGAAAGAAATGAAGAATATTGTTAGTAACACTTGAGAAATGTGACATATTTTAGATGTTTAAACTTTTGAATTTGTTAATATGGAGGAGCAAGTCTATGCAGCCCCATTATAAACAAGTGCAGAATTAGAGACCTGGGCTAGTTAATTTTTACATTTTCTCTTATGTAATTATTCTTTGTATTCATAAAAATATATAAGAGCTTATGTAAAAATCGTTGGTGACGTTGGATTTAATCTATGAAAAGGTGTGTCATTTATTCGTTAATTGCATTGCAGGAATCGATACTATTGATAGATACTACTGATAGAAGCATCTTACCAATGTGATGTGAGACTTTAGGATGGATAGTGTAGAGTCTAGTTGCAGCTTTACAAATTATTAATTGCTTTTAGTAAAGATAGAGAAACAATTTGATTGACAAAGTAGCTGAATGCGAAGAAATAACTTGCAGTTCAAGTCAAAGAACAGAAGTAACATTAATGAGATAAATATGTGGAAGAGTAATGTTAGAAAGAAGTGCTTATTTGGTGTTATATGATTTTTTGTTCTTGAATCTAGAATCAAAAGATCATTACTAAACATCAATGTGAATGAGCTAGAGGGGCTACTAGAAGGATTCTACACTGCATCAGATAAATGTGCTTGTTGGTATCAATTATTTTAATTGTGTTTTGTTTGCCAATTCCATTGAAGAGAATCGCGACACTGCAGTCATGGATTATATTTGTTTCTTGAATCATGCCTCAAATTTGGGATTTTTTATTTTGTCAAATATCTTTGCCTTTTATACAATCCAAGTGACTAAGAACTGCCACAAGTCTGTATTTAACTTTGGATTCTGCATCTTCTGATTTTTTGAATGAAAATATGTGGTTTACCAGGAAAATTCGGGATCTTTTCATAATGCATTATTATCACTTTTTACGTCTATTTGTTCTCTTTCGAATGTTATCATCTTAAAATGTTGCATCTTTCTAAAGCTGAGGCACTTGCACACATCAAGCATTGTGATCAGAATAACTATTTTTCATCATTCTCCTTGATCTATTTGATCGCTTGCTGGATTCACAAGAATCTGAGGGGATTGTAGTTTCAAGGTGTCATATTGCAGTTGTTTGTTCCTTGTTCGACATTATGTGGTATATCTTCTCTCTCAATAGTTGCCTACATGTATATAGAAGATAGAAAGGCGAGATGTCCATGATGTATGTGTAGGATGAACCAAATCCTCATTGGATTTTATTTGTCCAGGATACACATATTGTCACTCCAAAAATCATTCCCTAATAAACTGGACAATCAGTGGAATTCTACCAACAAAGAAAAAAGTTATAATTTGAATAAGAAATTTGAAATTGACTTGAAGTTTCAACTTTTATTTCAATTGAGTTTTGCTTTTTGTATTTTGTTCTGGTAGTAGACCATTATACAGGTGATATGAAATTAATACAAATCCCTCTTATCATTTTACAATGCTGCATCATCTTTCTAAAGCTAAGTCACTTATACACATCAAGCAATTATGGTTTAACTAACTAGTTTTCGTCATACTCCCTAGTCCTTGAACTGTTTGATTGCTAGCTGGATGCACGAAAATCTGAGGAGATACTAGTTCCATGGGTCATATTTCAGCTGTTAAAGATCGATAAATAGTTCTGTGACCAGAAGTTCAACTTCTATTTCAACTGAGTTTTTCTTCTTGGTATTGTGTTCTGGCAGTATGCACCATTATACTATTGATATGAAATTAGTAAATTACTGTGAATCCCTCTGATTTTCTTGAACAAAACTGTGTGCAGCAGGCCCATTCATACTCTGGGATGCTCTAACTAGTGTTACGGGTGTGGTGTCATCTGAGATTGATGATGGAGAGATTTCCACGGTTGGCACAACGCGTTCTTTCCGTTCCATTCACTCCAAAATACTTGAAATCTTGTAAGAAAACGAATCCTCTGACCTCCCACTTAATGCAACTCCGTGGCTCCCAGAGACCAATATTCATACAATGGAATCTGCAGGGAAGACCTTCTGTATGCACTGACTTAATATCCAAGAAAAATTACAGTTCTGCCACTGCTCGGGCAGGTTGGTTTCTGGGTTTAGGAGAGAAAAAAAAGCAAGCCATGCCTGACATTGTGAAAGCCGGTGACCCTGTTCTTCATGAACCGTCTCAGGACATTCCTCTTGAGGAGATTGGGTCAGAACGAATCCAAAAGATTATAGAGGAGATGGTGAAGGTTATGAGAAATGCACCCGGAGTTGGTCTTGCCGCTCCTCAAATTGGTATTCCTTTGAAGGTTTGTTAAAGAAAACATTTAGTTTGTCCAACTTTTTTTTTTTGCCTCACTAAGTTTGTTTGTATGGCAAGTGACAGATAATTGTGCTGGAAGACACAAATGAGTACATAAGCTATGCTCCTAAAGATGAAACCAAAGCACAGGACAGACGTCCATTTGGTCTCCTGGTGTGTGTGAAGTTTTTTATGTGTCATCTTGATAAATATGAGGTCCAAATTTTGTGGCAATACATTCAGTTTTCTTCTATTCTTTCAGGTTATTATAAATCCAAAGCTTAAAAAGAAGGGCAATAAAACTGCATTGTTTTTCGAGGGCTGCTTGAGGTAACACAGAAACAACTAAGCCTAACTTGAAATTTTTTACATATTGAACTATCAAAATGCAGTAGTATATTTTTTTACGAGCACATCGGGGCTCATAATAGAAACATGCTTTTTGTTAGAAGATCCTAGGCCTCAGCACTTCGGGAAAAAGGCAACTATTTGCTCCATTAGTATCATTTTATACAAAGAAATATTTAGAAAGTGAATAGCATTGATAGCCTGTATGAGGAAGATCGTTTTTTTTTTTTTTATCTTTTGTAAAGTAGCAAAATGTATCATCGCCTCAAAACTGTGTCAAAAGGTTTATGAATTCTTTTATTAAAAATAAGGTACAAGAGGCCATATGTTTTCAACAATTATCAGGATGAGCTCTTGTTTTCGATGGTCGCAGCCATTAAGTTTACCTTAACTTGTTCTGATAATCATTTCAGATATGCACAATGGCCTATCTTTTGTAAAGATGAGCTATGTTATTGTGCAATTGAAGGTGCATTGAGTTGGTGAAGATGTCACTCTGCCTATTGAGGAGATAGTCTAAGAAGAAGGATCTTTATTGATTTGTAGTTTTGTACATTGTTTTGACTTTCATTTTTGCTTGCTTGCGTTTGTCTGAATAGTGAACTGGAAATAGCTGTTTATCTTGTTTAATAGAAAATTACCTAGCAAATTAATAGCCTGTTTATCAAGCTTCCAAAATCTCTGCTTGTTTTGAAAAATAATTGTTATCAGAACTCTGAAGTGTTTTTCAGAAACGTAATTTTTCTAGTGGCAGTTTGTGTTTGGCTAATCGATTTCAAAAATCGGCTTTGCCGATATTAGAGTAGTACTTTGTGCTTGCCAATGTTCCAAATATGTAAATCCGGAAACTAGGCATGTTTGGCTTCCCAGAAGCTTGACCAAATAGGTTATAAGAACAGTTTTACTGGCGCTGTTATGTGGAAGTGCAATTTTTCACAAGAATCTGAATTTCTCTTTGACAGGCTATTCCTAGCCTTTAGAGTGATACATTATGTGATTAAAACTGCTTAGATGTCCTATCAGGTTAATAACCACAGATATAAATGAATTCTTTGCTTAATCTTCTGTTTGCAGTGTTGATGGGTTCAGAGCAGTTGTGGAAAGACACCTAGAGGTAGAGGTTACTGGTTTGGATCGAAATGGCAAAGCAATCAAAGTAGATGCTTCAGGATGGCAGGCTCGCATCTTGCAGCACGAATATGACCACCTAGACGGAACTCTTTATGTTGACAAGATGGCTCCTAGAACCTTCAGGACTGTAGAGAACTTGGACTTGCCTCTTGCAGCTGGCTGTCCTAAATTGGGAGTGTGCTAGGTCCACTACCTCGAGCGACTCATTGTGAACTGAATTATCAATATCTTGCTTGGAAATGGAATCATTTGTCCCTTGCTCAGATAACTGTGATGTTAGAAAACAATAAAGGAGCTACTGACGCTGACTCTTGTGGGATATTGAAGTACTTGGATTCAGAAATGAGGTAGCAAATAGGTGTGTACATTAAGCTGTTTACACAGATCATTTTTTTGAATGGTATACTGTTTCTCTTTCTGTTATGGTATACTACAAAGTTGATACTGTTATTGCACAGCAGAAAATGAGAGGTATCGGGATTATAGAGGGATATGCAATTAAATGTCCTCTTATTCTGTGATCTTCTGGATAATAATATACATAAAAGTAGCTATTTCATACAATATGGTCTTACAATAACAATGACAACAACATACCTAGTGAAACACTGTCTGGGGAGGGTAGAGTGTATGCAGACCTTACCACTACCTCGAGGAGGTAGATAAGAAGGTCTTGCAGAACTATGCATAGACAGAAAACTAGTCTGAAAGATAACATCGAATATAGGACAATTCATACAACTGAATGAGAGTACAATCCTTTATTTTGATTTAATCAACAAGAATCATAACTAGGGATTCTTTTATCAGGTTGAATACAATCAATAGGAGGGGTTGTGTTTGTTCTCAATTCTCCATAAGTTTCCCAACAATACGGTCCATAAAAATGCTTCTTTTCTAATGAAGGTTTAAGCTTTATATCTGCAAGGGAAACACCTGTGCATGGCACAGAGTCACTACACGCAAAATGAACTGGTTTATATGAATAAGTTCCTTCTATGGATTGATATGAAACTCCTGATATTGCTACTGCTGATGTGTGGTTACCACATTTTCTTTTGTCACAATAGAATTGATCTATCATTATTGGTATTTTCACATCTGAGACATGGATATTTGAGAACGTGATTCCATGAACTGAGCCTGAGCCTCCCTGAAAATATTGACATCCTGTGAACATCAAGGTGATCTCAATTGATGGATTCAACAAATGTTTCATTAGTTATACCTGCCATGTTTTGATTCTTACACCAGTCATAGTGTTTTGTAGTGTTGAATCCTGAACTGTTATATTAGAAACACAGGCTTTTGTGTTGTCTTTTCCTAGCCCTCCTATGCTGAATCCATGTCCAGGTCCACAATTCACATCATGAATGAACACAGCTGAACTTCCTGTTTGTATAGATATACAGTCATCTCCTGCATAATGTGTTACAGTTTTCACTTCAAAATCACAAAAAGAAAAGTCTCGAAATCTCTCTAGCGTAAAGAGCTAAGCCCACTATTGTTGTAATTGCTAGAGAAATATAGATTATGTTATATATCTTTCAAAGAGTAATTGATCAAATTATTACCACAAGCAATATCACTGCTGTTAATGACAACATTTTGTGAGTTGTGAAGGTGAATTCCATCAGTATTTGGGCTATCTCCAGGGGATGAAACTGTTATCCCATAAACTTGAACAGCCACACAATGATCAAACTTGAGATGTGCTTTGGGACTGTTTTGGATTGTTATGCCTGTTACAACTACATTGAAACTTCCATGGAACTTCAGTGCCTGCCACATAAAATTGCACCAAAAGTATAAAATAAGAATAAAATCCACTTAATGAGTAAGGGATTTCATGTAGGTAATTGTGTTATTTAACATGGTTTTTCCATTATTTTTGGGCTAACCGGCTCACTGGGAAAATGAACAGTGGGATGTAGATTTTCACTGAAGTAGTGAGAAACTTCCTAATCTTTACTTAAGAAAACATTACTATTTTTTTCTTTTTTCCATCTATTCAATGAAAATATCTATGGGAATAAACAACATTTTTATCATTTTTCAGTGGGGAAAATAGTGATAATTTAGTAAATGGTACTTACTGCTGGTCTTGTTCTGGGCATTTTTCCTTTTGATTTGCTAGTTATCTGTCCAGGCACCAATATAAACAGTCAAGGAATGAATAATAACAATTACTATTAGTTAGAATTAACATTTGGTTGATATGAATGTAGGGTGTTGATTTACTAACATCAAAAGATTAACTTGTAGAACAATTTAGTCAACTATTTTATGAATAGATATAAATGAGGCTTGTTTCTACATGGAATAAATTAAAAGAAATTGCTAGTTGAACAAGGAGAAGGGTCTTAGAAAATATGACTTTGATCGATTGATTTTTACTTGATCACAATAAACTTTTTTCAATAACAAAAAAAATAGATTTTTCATTGCACTCAGATAGATTGCTTGGTTGTCTGATACAATACTTAATGGGAAAGATTTATCTGAGAGGAAATAAAAATATATTTAAGACGAGATTTTTGTAAATTATAAAATTTTTTAGAGATATGTTAAGTCGTATATTTACGGAATGTTTCCAATATTATAACTCTCTCTCAAACTCCAAGAAAGAAAGGAAAGGGATAGGCAAAGTATGATAAGTAGATAGATGAATAAGTAATTATTACCAAAGCAATTTTTGGAGCATAATCATCTTGCTCCTCTGAATAATAATCACCTTCATATTCTTCAATTAATAAAGGAGTATTTTTCCACCAGACTGATCCTTGGCCATCAATAATGCCTTTTCCCTTAACATATATTCCATTTAGCTTTGAGAATTCAAGCCATTGTAATACACCCCACACTTTAGGGTTTGTTGGTGCTATAATTCTCCCATCCAACTATTCAAAAAAATAAAGAGAGAGATATGAAGTGCATACATATTTTTTATAATTCTCATGACTATTAGCATTTCAAAAGTTTTTTGAAAAATGATTTTGGGGAATAGATAGTTAATTTTAAAGATAAAACAGATAAAATATTTTTCCCTTGATGCGCTAAAACAAAAAAGTAAAAATAAAAAAAATATTTTTAATATAGTAGACGAGTAAGAATAAACGAAGGAGGTAATTTGCAAGAGTGACTGAATTAAGGAGAGACTATCTAATTACAAAATATTCTTATCATATTTACTAATTCTCCTTATAGTTTGAACTAGTTACATTCTATATCACTACTTAATAGTTTTATGGCAGATATATCTAGATACGTGTTTTATACACTTAGATACATATTTTTTGCTATCAAATACATTGAAATAGGGAGAGAGGCAAGCGAGATTTGTCTATATATTTCAAATATATGTGATTCACACTAAATACATGTGAATCACAGTAGATACATGTATTGTATGTATGTGATGTGATTTGGATGTATATGAGATATCAGATACATATGAGAGTGGCGAGCGAGATTTTTCTATGTATTTCAGATATATGCAAATTCATTTGGATACAGTGTATCTTGAGCAAATTATATCTAGAAGTATCTGAATAATACCAAAATCTGATAAAATTCGTAATATTGCAAACTAAAATGTATCTAAGTAATTAGCTTCTCGACTAGTGAAACTTAGGGGAGTTACCCCTTCAATTAAACTTACAAAAATATTAGTGGACTGAATGTATATACCTGGAAAACAATGTTTTTCTCACAATGTGACCCTGAAAAAGTGATAGGACCAACTAGGAAATCATAATCTGATGGAACCATCATAACTGAACCTTCAACTTTGCAAGCTTCAATCCATGTTGCTTCAAATGCCTGCCAAGACAATGATAAAGTTGCAACAGACATGTTCTTTGGTGAAATTAGGATTAGGGTTAACTTGAAAATAATTATGGAATATGTGGCAAATAAAGAAACAAAATGTTACTCTCTTCGATCTATTTTAATTATCGTGCTTACTAAAAATTATTATTATTATTTGAGAAAAAATTATGACATAATTAATTATTTTAGAAAATGTGTAAAGATTAATGTGGTGAAAGAAAGTATACTAATAAATTGAGATAAAAAAATAAATAAATAAGGATAATTTAATCAAATTATCATTTAAGTTAATATTTAGAAAATATATATATATATAACAAGTACTCACATAATTAAATGCATAATAATAAAAATATGGCTCTATTTATTTTAGGCTTTTAGTATTTTCAATAATCTAATAAAATTCACTATTGTGTGTTGAAACCAAAAAGTTAGGGTGTATACGTCCGGAGAAAAATATTTCTTTTTTGTATGTTTGGTTGAATAAAATTTTTGAAAAATATTTTTTCTAGCTATAATAGAAAGAAGGTAAAACAAGTTTTGTAAGTGACATTCAATGTGTTTTATTAGTCCCCCAACCCTTACACCTTATCACCCGTCACCGTCCCCACCATCCCCGAGGCCCACAACCATCCCCTCACACCTCTATATGTTTTTTATATATATTATACATAAATGTTAGTAAAATAAAAAAAATTACTATTAATCGAATGCAAGAAAATAAGTTTTAAAAAAAACAATTTGATTTTTTAGGAAAATATTTTTTTACGAATAATAAACCTTCATACCAAACAGATGAATGTTTTCTAATAAAACTTTCAGATATAACATAATTATATACTTTAATATTATATCAGAATAGTAATAAGTCTCGTATCGTCGCTACTACCTACTATAAGAATTAGAGTCAATAACTCACACGTGAGGAACATATAATTGAATACTAATAGTAAGAGAAGTATGTTAAGACATGACTAAAATATTGTGAAATAATAGTACTCTATATACTTTCTTGGTTCTTATTAATTTGTCCTGTTTTATATTGATATGTCGATTAAGAGAATAATATATTCTCTATCTTAATTTATGTATTGTATTTTGAAATATTGTGGATTATCAATTAATGTGACTTATACTATTTTTATGAAGCTAAGTTTACAAATATAAAAATTCATCTAAAAAAAAGATTTTATGCGTAAATTTCTGGTTAAACTTAATATGTTTGACTTTTGAAAACAAAATGTGTCACATAAATTGAGACATATGAATTTACCATATTACCCCTATTAATTGATAGGATTCCAAAATCAATTTACTCATTAAAGAGGTTCTATCTTTTTTGTAAACATTATGTATCTAAATATATTGAATGTATAATAGATATAAAGAAACATTGTATTTTTTTTATTTGTCAAAAATAAAAAAAGTTAAAATTAGAAAACAAAAGGGAATATTATAGAGTATGATATCTTACTTTGGTGTCATATGTGATTCCATCACCTTTAGCACCATAATCTAAGACATTAAAGACATAAAAATTCTCAATACTTGACTCTTGTGACCTAGCATTACATGTTGCATTCTCCAAACTATAATAGATTACTAAAACCAACAAAATAACTAAATTCATGAGATCTGTACTAAACCTCGACATTTTGATTTAATGAGAGAAAGATTTAAAGATGTACTCTCTCTCTCTCTCTCTTAATTAAATTATTATTATTTCTATTGATGATATTTATAGGCTTAATATGTCTGATAAACCAAATTAGCACTGTGCATTCATGTGACAACATGTATTACGTATATATATACCTTTCTTGTAGTGTGGGATAATTAAGTTCATTATTTATTAATTCTTATATTACTACTAGAAAATACGAAATTAGCTATAGAACTAATCGATAATTTCCAACTAATTTGTTGCTAAATAGCTCGTAATTGATGTTTGTATCATTCTTTGCTAATCCATAGCTAAATGGAATTAACATGAAGCTTTTATTGTTCAGTTTTCAGAAAAGGGTTCAAAATATATCTGAATTTTGACCCAAATTATTGTAATGATACCATACTTTAAAGAGGATCTTTTATCCTTGCACTATTTAATATTGTATTCTAAAGGTATATATGGGTTCACGTGGACACATTATTATTTATAACGATGCAATATTTATGATGTCCACGTAGACACATATATATACCTTTAAAATACACTATTAAAAAGTGCAGTGATAAAAGATCCTTTCCAAAGTTCGATATCGTTACAACAATTTTAGTCAAAATTTGAATACATTTCAAACATTTTACTCTTTAATTATGAAATATTTTTCATCGCATTTTTTGTAAGATCTTGTATTACGACAAACAAATTGAAAATGAAGTAGAATATTTAATTCATTACAAACGAGAACATTGAGATTAATTATCGAGTACTTAATGATTTCTATATGATATATATGTTGTTAATTATATCTTGCTAATTAGGTATTTTAGTTCAAAAAGAATCAATAAGTATATACTTGTTTTAGGCTAAAAGGAATATTAAGTAGGTGTTACGTGTGCATGAAGAAGAAGTGTTTTTCATCGTGCTGATGATGAATCATTTGACTCCACACTCGTTCTTGCCTTGTAAGTGATATTTTCTTGAAGTTTGAGCATTGAAATCATGAAATTTCATTACTCAGTGTTTTCTAATTACGTGTCACATTTCGTTTTTCTATGGTCAAACATTTCGTTTTTCTATGATCAAACAATGTAAATTTGATCGAGAATTTGCTTATAAATTTTAATTTTTTAAAAATAAAATTTATAGATTATTGAAACAATACTATAAATTACAATGATTGACAATTTAAAATATTTTATAAGATATATGAGAAACTTATAGTCAAAAATAGACTTATATAAATCTCAAAATCTAAAATACGTCACAGAAATTGAGATAAAACTCAAAACTTAAAATGCGTCACAGAAATTGATATAAAGGAAATACTGTTTTCAGTATTGTACGTGTATATAATTATGAGCATTTTGATTGTCCGCAATATTGCTCAAAATGATTAGGGGATTGTGTTAAAATGTTTTGATGATTGGAAAAGTGTTAACTTTCCCATTTTTAGTTAATGTAGTTAGTCTGTTAGTTTTCCTATTTTCTGTTAATAGAGTTGGTTAGCTAGCTTTGTATGCACATGGTTAGTTAGCTGCAGATTCAGTTAGTTAGTGTGTGTGTGTTGTAAGCGTGAGTGGAATGATTGGAGTTGGTTAGAGGATTAACATTGCTGCACTATGCTTGTATATATATACAGATCACATGTAAAATCCATGAATGAGAATAACAACTTCTTCCTTCTTCCTCCTCCTCTTCTTCTTCTTCTTCTTCTTCAAACTCAGCTTATTCCTAAAAGCTTCAATGGAGTAATTTCGAACTCCTTGTTAGAATTTGTCATGGTATCAGAGCGAGGTTAGATCAGAACAGTGTAGGTTGTGAAGAAGACAACAACAGACAACAATGGTGGCTGGAAGAATTGATCCAAATGATCCTCTTTATATAGGTCCATCAGATGCTTCAAGTGCAGTTTTGATTCCTATCAAACTCACAGGACCTAAAAATTATGGTGTATGGAGTAGATCAATGAGAATTGCTTTGACAGGGAAGAGGGAAATTGGATTCATTACAGGAGCTTGCAACAGATCTTTGTATCGAGATGAGTTACATGAACAGTGGGAAACATGTAATGCAATTGTGCTATCTTGGTTGATGAATTCAGTTAGTGAAGATCTTCTAAGTGGAATAGTTTATGCTACTAGTGCTTATACAGTTTGGCAAGACTTAAAAGAGAGGTTCGACAAGGTTAATCGAATGAGGATTTATCAATTATACAGGGAGATCAACACACTCTCACAAGGTACTGATTCTGTTTCATCATACTACACCAAACTGAAGAACTTGTGGGGGGAATTTGATGCACTTGTGCCATCTCCTAGTTGTGCTTGTCCAAAATCCAAAGAGTATGCTGATCATCTGTATCAGCTTAGACTAATTCACTTTCTTAGTGGGTTGAATGAGTCGTATGAACAGGCTAAGAGACAAATTTTGCTAAAAGGTGTTACTCCTACTATTAATCAAGCTTATGCTATGATTATAGAGGATGAGCTGCAACAACAAACAGCTTGTGTATCCATTGCTTACAAGGTATCTGATGTAGTGGCTATGAATGTTAACAGAGGGAACAATTATAATCAAGGAAATCAGAATAACAAAGGAAGAAGATGTGAACATTGTCAATATACTGGGCATACTAAGGAGAATTGTTACAGGTTAATTGATTATCCAGCTGATTGGAAACACAGAAAAAGGTCTGGTTTTAATAATGCACGGTCAGGCCACATGCATTCTTCATCTGGAGGAAATAACCATAACCTTGTTGGAGAAGCTAACAATATATCCAAAGAGAACTCCGGAGAAGCCTCTTCTAGTCATCATGAAGTAAACAATGCTTTTATGGCTAGAGGACATGCATTCACTGATGGAGAATATAAGCAAATAATGGACATGTTAGGGAAAGATAAGAGGGAAGTGAAGCAGTCCAACATGACAGGTATGGCAAATTGCTTTTCAACTAATGTTGCCTCTCATTGTTGGATAGTAGACTCTGGTGCTTCTCATCATATTACAACAAATGAACATCTGCTAAAAAATAGTAAATGTACAGCTAGCTCTCACCAAGACAAAGTGAAATTACCTACAGGTGACAAGGCCTCTATAACACACATAGGAGATACACATTTGTTTAGAAATGAAGTGATCAAAGATGTGATGTGTGTACTTGAGTTCAAGTTCAACCTGCTGTCTGTATCACAATTAACTAGGGAACTATCTTGTTTTGTTTCCTTTTACCCTGAATTCTGTATATTTCAGGATCTTTACAGTGGCAGGGTGAAGGGGATTGGTAGGGAAGAAAGGAGCCTGTACATATTCAGAACTAATTCTGACATGAAGAGCAAATGTGAAACTCAAAGTCCTCAGAAAATTGTTGCAGAGGTATCACTACAAGATTGTGAATTGTGGCATAGAAGGCTTGGTCATCCTTCAAACCAAGTGTTACATTGTTTAGATATATTACATAATAATAAAGGCAGTGATATACTTACCAGTTGCTCAGTATGTCTATTAGCTAAGCAAACTAGATTGTCATTCCCTATCAGTGCATCAAAAACCTCTAAATGTTTTGAACTTGTTCACATGGATCTTTGGGGACCATATAAGATTCCCACATTTGATAAGAAATACTATTTTCTTACAGTTGTTGATGATTACAGCAGATATACTTGGGTACATTTACTACAGCTCAAATCTGAAACTATAGTAGCTATGAAAACTTTCTTTACATTGATAAAGAATCAGTTTGGGTGTATAATCAAGATTGTACGGTCAGACAATGGAACAGAGTTTTTCAATTCTCAATGCAAAGAATTGTTTACAAGTCTAGGTACTATACATCAGAGTAGTTGTCCTCACACACCACAACAAAATGGTGTAGTGGAGAGGAAGCATAGACACATATTGAATGTAGCTAGAGCTATCAGATTTCAGTCTTGTATGCCACTTAGATTCTGGGGAATTTGTGTTCAAGCAGCTGTGTATTTGATTAACAGACTACCATCATCCAATCTTCATAACAAAAGTCCATATGAGAGGCTATTTTCTAAGTCTCCTAATATCAGCCATTTGAGAGTTATAGGCTGTCTTGGTTATGCTTCTATTATTCCTAGAAATGATAAATTCTCAGAAAGAGCAAATCCTGTGATCATGATGGGATATTCAGAAACTCAGAAGGGCTATTTGTTAATGGATATACAGACTAAGAAGTTCCTAGTGAATAGAGATGTGGTATTTCAAGAATATATCTTTCCTTTTGTCACTTCAAAACCTTCACAAGCACCTGTTAATGATCTATCACCTGATAGCCTTGAAGAACTAAATGATTCAGAAGAGACAACACCTGATGATTGTATACAAACAGATACACAGATTTCTACTAATTTGAATGATGTTATTTCTACTAGTTTGAGTGATGTTCCTGATGAAATATTGCATACTCAGCATGAAGAGATGTTAATCCAAGACTCAAATGTTGATTCAGTGTCTTCTAGAAAGTCATCTAGACTTACTAAACCTCCCATTTGGATGAAAGATTATATGACTACTGCTATTGGACAGAATAGTAAGTATCTTCTGGCAAATCGTCTTAGTTATGATCATATGTCATCAAAGTATCATAGCTACCTAGCCAACTTTTCAGTACAGTAGAACCTCAAACATTTGGCCAAGCTAGTAAAGATCCAAAATGGATTGAGGCCATGAAATTAGAAGTTAAAGCTCTTGAAGATAACAAGACATGGTTGGTGGTTGATTTACCTTTAGGGAAATATACTGTTGGTTCTAAATGGATCTACAAAATCAAATACAAGGCTGATGGAGACATAGAAAGATTTAAAGCTAGACTTGTAGCTAAGGGTTATAGTCAACAAGAAGGATTGGATTATCATGATACATTCTCACAACTTGCAAAAATGGTAACTGTTAGAAGTGTGATTGCAGTGGCAGTTTCAAAAGGATGGTTTCTTTACCAAATGGATGTATACAATGCCTTT